CCCCAAAACCCCAAAACCCCAAAACCCCAAAACCCCGGGGGGTTTATATACTGTTGAATAGTTTAAATTTAAGTGATAATTCAAAGCTAGGATCTAAAAATGACTCTTGCTAAAAAGTTTTACAGAGAAAGCACAGAGTTATTCAGCTTTTTATATGTGGATTCTTGTTGGAACAGCACCTTAACAAAAGACTTGATCCTCTTCTTCATGTTTGGCTGTTCTTCTCCTGCATCCTTGTCTCCTTCTTGGTGGAATAGAGCTCTAACTCTGTACATTATTTGTGTACATTTGGCGCATTTTCTAACTTTACCTCCCTTGGTGGATTTGAGGACCATCGACCAGCACTTGTTGCACCACATGATGGACTTCCCCTTCTTGGTGGCATTGAAGTTGTCGAAATGTGCGAAATTGACATAAGATTTCTCATAAGAATTATCAGCTATATTGTTCAATGTCTCAGTGAGTAAGCTCTTTGTGCATTTACTAGTAAAGCATTTGTTAGGATGCCTAAGGCGATTGATATACTCAATACAAAGTTTGCGTAAGCAAGGCTTATGGCCCATGTGCTTGCCATTGCACATCTTTATAAGCTCCTCTGCTGGAGAGTAAACCATTCAGACTCTGCAGAAGTCTGCCCTTCTAAGTTTGGAGGATTTTTGTGTATCATTATCCTTAGTCTTATTGCCTGGAGAAGTTTCTCAGCCTTCAAAGAATGCTAAATAAGTTTAAATTTAAATATTTTATCGCCAAACAGCCGAGATCTGGAGATACCAAGCATTAAATTAGAACGAACTTACCAGGTTTGTCGATGAAGTCATCCAGAGATGATCTCGTGTTGTTCTTCAAGAGGACAGCTACCTTTTGACTCAAATTAGACTATAGATATGTGCTAGAAGTTACCTTTTCTTCTTCGCCAATGTGGCTCTCATTGGAACTTCATTGAGGATCTTTACTTCTAAAGGAAGAATAATCTCTGAAGATGTGTACAAATTTAGTGTTGCACAGAAATAGGTCTAACAGAGTTCAGACACTTACTCCTCTTCAAAGACATAGTCATCCTTAATCATTTCTTTAAGGATTATTGGTTTTGGTAATTTTAAGTGAGATTCAAGATTCATTATCATCAGATTCCTGGATACTTATGACCTCTGCTCTAGCTTTCTCTTGATCCTTCTTGTTCCTCTTTTTCAGTTTGTCTGAATTGGAAGTGTCTACCAAGGGCTTTGCCTCCACAACTTTGGGTTGCACACTTGTCTTCGAGAGGATCAAAAGGCTCTGAGTGATGTTCTTCATGAAAGAGACCTTTCTGATTACCGAATTGAGGATATCCACATGGTCTGTTGCTTGAGTGGCTTCTTTGAGGTCGGATAACCTTTTGGTGATGTCCTCCATCTCTGTCACATTGTAGTTTACAAAATTTTCGATTGTTTTTGCATCATAATCTCCTTTTCCGCTAGATCTATGATGCATTTGTCAGGGCCGTATTAGAAATTATGATCATAAAGTTGCCTAGAAAGGCAACTATTGCATGTTAGATAGACCCATCTGGCCTAGAGGGTTGTATATTTGAGTAAGCTAAGTTTGAAGATTTACCTGATTTCCATTTCACACTATAACTTTAATTTAATGAAATCTCAACCATTTTTAAATCTAAAGGGGTTTTGGGGTTTTGGGGTTTTGGGG